TTTTCACAAAAACAACAGCTCTCTTTTGGTACGCTCATATTTCATTTGTTCAAAGTAATTATATTACATAACTGCAAAAGTAAAATTGCCATAAATATGTTTGAGAATAACATCACTGACTCTGGGTAAACACACAACCCCACTGGAGGAAGCCGAGGCCTGCAGGCGTTGAGGGAGCTGTGGACCCCTGGCAACTTGGTGACCAGAAGTTACCTAAGAGAGTTTGTACAAATATGCCGAATGTCACAGAATCATGAACCTCGAAGGGCTAGATTCTGTGTTTTGTACATTTTATTTTTACCACATTTTTTTAAACAAATGGAAGATAAGTAAATAGGAAAACTTGTGATATTAAAAGGAGTTTCTGTGGAACAGCTAATTAATGTATTTAGAAGTATACAGCTTCACTCCCTGAAAATGTGAGAGACAGCTTTCAAAAAAAAAATATATGTAGTACTAACAGATGAAAACATTCCTGAGGAGATGGGCCCGAGGAAGAACGTGGAGACAACAGAGATGATGAAGCCCACACACTGACAGACCTGTGAAGACACAGTGAGGGAGCCAGGGGCGCCATCACTGAGTGACGCAGACATGGGGAGGCCCTCTCTCAGGGTCTTCGCATAGAAGGACTGAGCCCTGGGGATGCATAGTGGTGTCCTGAGGGCACGGGGGGCAGGGAGGGGGGCCCAGTGACCCTCAAGGCTGCCCCCCAGGCTTGGAACAAAAACCTTCTCAGAAAGAGCAGCTCTTTCCAAAGCCAAAACCGTGTGGTTTGAAAGCTGGCCTCTTGCATGAGCTAGCTGAGCACAGGTGCACTTTCTAGATGGTCTGACGGTCTGCAGAAGAACTTAAGCTATAGTACCTTAGGCCGTCCTTCTTTCTCATCTTCCCTGTAAAGCCTTTGCTGTTGTCTAACAGCGCTGAGTTCAGGGCCCACCCTCCTGAGCAATGGAAGCGCAGGCATTCTTTTCAGCTAGTTAAGTATAAACCCATGCAATGAACAGCCCACTGAGCTGAGATCAGGGTTGACCTCTTGAGAAAGTCAAAACGCCTTCTAGGACGCCCACCTGGTGAGACCATCACGCCTAGGAGTATAGGTCGTCCCCACAGCTAGGGCTGAAGATTCTTCTCAAGGATTCATTTTGGCTCAATCCTCAGGCAGATGGGTGATGGAGGCCCCGCAGGCCTAAATTACAGAAGGGGCTGTGTACTTTCAGCTCCTCATCCCTGCCCCCGAGAGCTTTGAAACCAGGGTTCCTTAGGTGACAAAACTTGCTTTCCTGCTCTTACACTCGATGTCGGACTCTGTCCCATGACTCCTGCTCATCTGCTGTTTATTGACCCCCTACTCCTAGGCACTGGAGCAGAGCAGTGAATGAAACAGAACAGGCCCCTGCTCCCAACGAGCTGAGGTTCCTGCGGAGCGAAGTAGGCGAAAACAATCAAGCCAATAAGTACATGTCATGTGTTGCTAAACGCAGTGAGGAAAAAGAAAGCCAAGTCAGGAGAAAGGCAACCACAGATGTATGCAGGAGCCTCTCTGATACGATGAGCTGTAGCCAGAGTCCTGGATGCAGTGCAGGGAAGGGCAGAGGGAACAGCAGGAGCATGCCTGCAGAGCATAGAGGCAGGTGCAGCCCGGCCCAGAGTCCGGTTGGACTCGTTGGAGGGTTCTGAACCAGGGAGTATGTCATCTGCCTTATAGTAGATCCAGGAGGTGACTCTAGCAGCTGTATTTGGAAAGTTACAATGTGTATTCCTCTCAACCAGAGGGAAGGTACTTTGAATGTCAGTGACAACCTGGGTTGTGTTTGTCACGGTTACCTTCTCCATCTCTGCTCTGTGCTACCAGGTGCCGTCTCTGCCTTCGTGCTTCCTCCCTCCCTCTGAGCACCCAGGGACCTTCCTTCTCTTAGTCAGAGAGCCCGTTGCCCTCATAGCAAGCGGCTCTGCATTCGCAAGTTTATTTCCTAGTCCTTGGCCCTAACACTGCAACCAGCTGTCTGGAAGACAAGGCATCCCATTCAGCTTTTCTACAGTCCAAGTCATCCTTCTTCCTCATCCCTAAAGACCCCTTTCCTACTTCCCCTTCTCTCTTCAAGCCTCCACAGTGATCCCAGTCCTACTTCACCAAGAAGAGAGAAGCCGCGGGAATGAACCCCTAGCTTCCCTCCCGCCCCTCACCCCATGCTTCTCAGCCCCATGCACCATCCTCCCTTGTTTCTAGTCCCAGGGGCCCGGCTGTCAGAACATTCTGTTCATAGCTTTACCCATGTCCTTGGCCCTTCCAGAAGCTTCTCTCCTGCTTATCCTTCCTGCTTCTGTGTTTTCTACCTTTCCCTCTCTACCAGGTCTTCTCTCTGCATTAATCACACTTAAGGATTCTGCACCGAAAAGTACTATCTGACCTTGCGTTCCCTTCTAGTCCTTCCTTCTCACTTCCAGACTTCTCAGCCACACTTTCTGAAAGGCTTCCCCTTGAGGCTCCCTTCCTGCTTGTCTGCTCCTCTGTCCACGGTGGCCTGGCTTCCTCCCACATATTCTGACAGAACTTTCCTCGAGAGACCTCCCATGACACGTCCTCCCGTGTTACTGAAGCTCGGCATCTAAAGCAGAAGTCCTTCTCTTAACCCACACCACCTACCCTGTCCCCAGTCTGCTCATGTGCTTCCGTGTTCCCGGTCCTGGTGGGGGATGGTTCCACCCATCCCCATGCCAGAAAATCAGGACTCACCCTTGAGCACTTCCTTAAACACCTCCAGAATTTCTCCCTATCTGCCCGCCTCCACGCTCTCATTACGTCTTGGTGACTGCTCTGCAGCAGCATAACTCACCTCTTTGCCTCCAGGCCCCGCTTCTTACACCCTCCCCCAAGTCTAGCCTAAGGACAAGTGTGTCTTTCCTGCGCTCTCCACCTTCCCTTGGCTTCTTGTCATCAGCTTAAGCCTCATGTACTTTCCGCCTCCTCCTCCAAGCCTGTCTCCCGTCACATCCCCCGCTCCTAAACTCGACCTTCCTGTGGTGGCCAAGTTCCTGGTGCCCGCATTGTAGTCACATGCCTCTTTGCTTCACCCGTGCTGGGAACTCCGCCTGAAACAGTCTTCCCGTTTGGAGCATCTGAATTCTTGAGCCTTCCAACTCAGCTCTGACGTCCTCCAGGAATCTCCCCTCCCCCAACCCGCTGGTCATTCCCTCCAGGCCTTGTACCGTCGGGCTCCTTCACTGCACGACTGAACTGGATTATACTGCAAGTTATTTTGCTTATGGCTGCTTCCCCTGCTTTGTCCAAGTCTCCTGAGGCCCTAATGCCAGTGGCCTGCACCCGGAACATGCTCCGCTATGTGTGCTGTGCTGAGTCAAGGGTCCTCAGTGGCATTCGCCATCCTCCCCCCATCCTGGCTGAGGGCACCTCCTCCAGCCACTCTCCTCCTCTTCACCCGCTCCGTTCTTTTCCTACAACAGACATGGACCGCACAGTCGCTTCTAACCGGTTCTCCCCACCTCCCTCTCTACCCCTGTAGGGAACCCTCCACACCACAACCACAGGGGTCTCTCCATCTCACACCCGGGCTCCCTGTCTCCTGCCATCACTGATCCACACTCCAGAACAGCTTGTCATCACACCCTCATTTCCTCCCTTGCCTGCCCCTGCCTGCTCATCTCCTGCCCCCGCTTCCACACTCTGCCCAGCGCCCTGGCCATGCTGTGCTGCCTGCCGTTCCATGAGCACAGGCCCTCCCTCCCCAACCATCCCCACAGCCACGACTCCTGCTTCTGCATTCCCAGTGACACTTGTATCAATCCTGGACCAGCGAGCTTCCTGCCATACTGCAATCGCTTGCCTTACCTGTCTGTCTCCTGTCTGTCTGCAGCCTGTCTGTGAACTCTTAAGAGCAGTGCCCCCCCAGCCCTGGGCTCAGTGGCCCCTCCCTGGGCCCACACTTTAGAGGGCTCCACTCTTGTGGAGTAAGGAGTCCAAGGGGCTAAGGGGATGCAAGGAGCAGCCAGAGCTGGGTCCCCGGGCTGGGGAAGACAGAGGCGTGGTAGGGGGTGGACTGCGGGCTGGGGCTGCCTCTCTGCATGTTCTAGCACAGAGCTCCGAGGAATGGGAGAATTCTAAACTTGAATCTGGCCTTCCAGGCTATTACAAAGGTACAATCTGTCAAGACCGAAACATAGAAGATAATTCTTTTTTAAAGATTTATTGATTTGATTTATAACTTTAAAAAATTTAAACAGTTGGCCTGTGGGGCCCCCATCTGTACTCCTGCTCAAGCTGCACACGCTCTGCTCATTCATCATCCTCCCACCAGCACTCAGCCTAGTGCCTGGGCTCAGAGCAGCTGCGCCACTGATCCTGACAAAGGAACGGTCACGTGTCTTTCTCACTTGAAAGTTTATGGAAACTGTTAATGGAAAAAGTATACTTTGGAAGGTATTTGGCTGATACAGGAGATCCTTTTTGGAGGGGGGGGGAAGGAAAGATAATTTAGAAATGTAACCAAAAAAATTGAATAAATGCAGAGCAGCATCTCATATCTTATACAGTGCTTGACAATTTTCAAAGTACTTTTGCATCAATAATCTAACCTCTGTACAGTGAAGTAAACCAGCTATATGTGTATCCCCTCCCTCCTGGACGTCCTTTTACAGTAGAGAGTAATGCAACATTATAAAGCAGTTGCACTCCAAAAAAACCAAAATGCTGACAAAGGAAAACAGTAAAAGCACACACATGCAACTAATCTTGTCTTAGAAAAGATTCCTGTAACACAGGCATAGATGACATCGTTAGTCCAGCATTACAGGTAAGCAGATCACACTCTGAGAACAAGGAAGAGACAGCCTCCTCGAGGACTTGGATCTTTGGTACCCATGGCTTTTATCGAACACGGAAAGGTATCATACACATCCTATTCCCTCGCAGCCAAATGCATTTTAGAGAGTAATACTTAACCTTTCTTTCTTTCAGCACTTTCCCACACAACGGTCAAAACATGGGCCTCTCCCCCTTCCTGGGAACCCTGAACACCGGGGGGTCGTTGCCAGATCTAACCAACCTGCACTACTCAGCGCCACTGCCAGCCTCCCTGGACACCAGTGACCACCTCTTTGGAAGTATGAGTGTGGGGAACAGCGTGGGCAACCTTCCCGCTGCCATGACTCACCTCGGCATCAGAGGCTCTTCTGGTAAGTGGTCCCTGCTCCACTGGGACCATGCCTGTGTCCCCTGGTGGCTCAGCCACTGGTGGTCCCTGGCCGGGTGGCATGCTAATAAATCGTAGAGTGAAAGGGATTGTGTCTGAGTTAGAGATAATAATCCACTGGGCTTCCCAGGTGGCCCTGGTGGTAAAGAATCCACCTGCCAATAAGGAGTTGCAAGAGAAGAGAGTTAAATCCCTGGGTTGGGAAAATCCCCTGGAGTAGGGAATGGCAACCCACTCCAGTATTCTTGCCTGGAAAGTACCATGGATAGAGGATCCTGGTGGTCTACAGTCCATGGAGTCACAAAGAGTTGGACGTAACTGAGTGACTGAGCCCGCATGCATACAACCCACTAGCTTGTGTACCTCTCAACTCTGCTGACATTTCACTTAGGTGGTTCTCTTTCTGCTGAGTTTGATGAGCTCTGGGGCAGCTCAGTGAAACCTTATTCTTTTTTGTTGTTGTTCTTTTTTTTGGGGGGTGGGGGAGCAGAGTTGACCACACCTCACAGCATATGGGATCTTAGCCCCCTGCATTAGGAGCATGGAGTCTTAACTACTGGACTGCCAGGAAAGTCCAAAACCTCATTCTTCACTGTCTTCTCCAGCCCACATGCCTCAGGGACTTGGAGAATAAGATTTGAGAGTCAAGAAATAAGTGTCCATTCTACTCTGTGTTAGCTGAACAATGTTTGTGGTCCCTTATCAACATATGATGATATTTAATAATTGCAGATATCTCTCTAAATTCTTCCAACTTCCCAGTGGATTGCAAAAGAGAATATTTTGAATTTTAGAAAATTGTGGGTATAAGGAAAATATCTATCCTTAATAGATATGTATATTAAGTATAAATCTGCCACAGTTCAAAACTACTGGATCAAATTTTCAGAAGTGCTTAAAGGTGCTTTAACTGTACTAAAAAGCTACTCATAAGGTAACTTGGCTGTTACCGTAGGAGTTTGAGTCCCTGGGGTCTCTGGGAGTCTTTGGGGTCTCTAGGGCCTTTGAGTTATCCTGCTGCTTTACTTATGTGACCTCGGTGACGTCTCTGAACAAGGTCATCAGAGGTCACGTGAGTCCGGCAGCATTGGCACTTAGCCCCCTTGGGTCTTGTGGAAGCTGGCGTTCTCCAGTACAGCCTTGGACGCTGCTTCAGCTGAAAATCCTGTGTTTAATTGCTGGCTGTTATTTTCCTCAAACAAGCATTGTATTATCAAGGATATGTCACAACTAGTGCTTAAGTTTTTAGTGTTTCTACGCACTCCTTAAAAGCGCATGGTATGAAAGATTGCACATATATTTTTAAAGATGTGTGTGCTTTCTTTCTGAATGACTGAGTTTTAAAAAAAAGTCTAAATCCATATCTTTGGCTCTATTTTTTCATTCTTATTTGAGCCAGCCACATCTCTGACCTTTCCATGGTGAGTTAGGTAGGGGGATAACTACTTAGAGTTTTGTCAGAGACATCTTTCCTACCTTTTCAAAATCTATTATGTGGGTGTGTGTATGTGTGTTAGTGCTCAGTCATGTCCGACTCTTTGCTACCCTGTGTAGCCCATCAGGCTCCTCTGTCCATGGAATTCTCCAGGCAAGAATACTGGAGTGAGTTGCCATGCTCTCCTCCAGGGGACCTTCCCAACCCAGGTATTGAACCTGGGTTCTACATTGCAGGCAGATTCTTTACCATCTGAGCCACCAGGGAAGTCCTCAGAATCACTTACTGGCTAAAAATTCTTTTTCATTTCTGCATTTCCATAATTTTCATCTAACACTTAACTTTTTGTCAATGTGAAACAACGCAGAGTTCTGCTCACCCCAGCTGTGGGCACAAGAAGGTGGGCTGGGCTCTGAAACACAGGGGTCGTCCACGGAGATGCACTGCAGGGCCAGCATTCATTCATGGACTGAAGGCACCCTGCCATGCCCTGGGCCAGGTGCCAGAGAGCCAGCAGGGCAGAGGACGGGCTCCCTGGCCTCCTGGAGCTTGTGTCCTTGCAGCACGTGTTATGGAAATGCCTTTCCCAAACTCTCTTGCTCTTGCTAAAATTCACTCCCCTCCCCTTAAAACAAAGCACCAACAAGCCCGTCCTTTTCCCCACACTGGAGGAGACAGTAATGAACAACTTCTCAGGAGCTGGAAAAACAAAGAGAAAGGAAGCCCTGGGCTCAGGGTGTTTAAAGAGCCCACCTGAGGCAGCCCGCCCCCCACATCGAGAACCATGACACCCAGTGAAGGCAACCGAGGGTCCTGGCTGGTTGTCAGGGACCAGGCACTGGGGGCCCTGAACACAGTGAATGGTCCGGCCCTGGGATCTGTTCCTTGGACGGGAGCAGAGGAACTGACCATTCGCCTCTGCTGCTGCCTGCCTACCAGTTCTCACTCTCCCAGTGGTTGTTTACGTAATCTCATTCTCAAGAAAAATCTATTCTCATCCGTTTTTAAAAAGCTTTTTGTTTTGCTTTGGGGTAGAGCCGATTAACAATGTTGTGTGATGGTTTCAGGTGAACAGCCATACGTACACATGTATCCACGCTCCCCCAAACCCCCCTCCCATCAAGGCCACCACGTAACGCTGAGCAGAGTTCCCGTGCTGTTCCTTATCGAAACCATTCTCATCAGAATGGCGTTGTGCCTCTTAGTCTGAGTGCATCTTCTCCTTGCCCTTGATACCACTTTTTTTCCCTTTGGCTTAAACAACAAACATTTATTTCTTACAGTTCCAGAAGTTTGGAAATCCAAGATTAATGCGTCTGTGGAGAGTCCACTTCCTGGTTCATAGGTTCCTTTTTTTTTTTAATGGGACAATAAGTGCATTACAACATTCTGTTCGTTTCTGCTGTACAACCTTGGTACCTTTTCCAGCAGGAGAGTTGCCCGGAGCTCCTTCTCACACAAAATCATCAAATACAAATAGGAAGTTGAGTTTTTTCTCTACTGTTTGGAAAACAGAAGATGTGGTCGGTAACTATGAGGCATAAGTTGTGAACGTGCTGTCTTCCAGGTCTCCAGAGTTCTCGGAGCAACCCCTCCATCCAGGCCACGCTCAGCAAGACAGTTCTCTCCTCCTCCCTCAACAGCCACCCGGAGGCCTCCGCTCCCAGCGCCTCTGCCCTCCACCCCTCACTCCGCCACTTCTCGCTCAGCAACCCATCCCTTTCCACCACCAGCCTGAGCGGCCCCTCCCGGCGCAGGCAGCCACCTGTCAGCCCCCTCACGCTGTCTCCTGGCCCTGAAGCACATCAAGGTTTCAGCCGACAGCTCTCTTCAACCAGCCCCTTGAACCCGTATCCTGCCTCGCAGGTAAAAAGCAAGCGAACTAACAGTGAGACAGACTGAAGCAGATGGGAACTGAACTACGTCCTCACTCTAAGAGTGGTCCACGAGGTCTCGGATGCAGTCAGTTCTCACTTCTGTGCGAAATCAAATCATTCCTAACGCACTAGCGGTTTTCCAAGAGCAGAGTTGTTGTGTTGCCTTGTTGTTGTTTAGTCATTCAGTCGTGTCCAGCTCTTTTGTGATACCATGGACTGTAGCCCGCCAGGCTCATCTGTCCATGGGGTTCTCCAGGCAAGGCTCATCTGTCCATGGGGTTCTCCAGGCAAGAACGCTGCAGTGGGTTGCCATTTCCTACTCCAGAGGATCTTCCTGACCTATGGATCAAATCCATGTCTCCTGCACTGGCAGGTAGATTCTTTACCTCTGAGCCACCAGGGAAGCGCATTGTGTTGATTACTCTTGAGCAGACACTGAACAGTTGGCGGTACTTTCATGAAGTTGGACTTGGAGGAAAGGGGTCAGGTGTGGAGGGTGAAACCCAGTTATGTCTGAAATAGAAGGGAAGCCAGGTTGGGGTTTTAAATTGGTGTGGAAAATCAGTAATTGATTCTCTGAGCACTATAAGCCACAGAGAAAGCCGAGGAAGACATTGAAATACCTTCCTGAAGCTTCCATATTGAATTAGACCTCATCCCTAATTCCACTGAGAGATTTAAGAACAGTCCTTCTCTTGTTGATTAAATACTTAGGTATAGTAGGATCATATCTCTATAAAATGACCCTGATGAGTCTGTTTAGAAAGAGGCATACTTTGAAGTCACAAGCCTGCTACAGAAATTTAGGGTGGGAAACGTCATCTTTCTGATTTGTTGACTTTGTTTCTATTCTAAGTTTTCAGGGTGGTTTTTCACAGTCATCAGTGAACATGTTTTTAACCTGTTGGTCACTCCCTAGATACATTATAACATCATTTACTCACCACTTCACTATAAGTGAGTAATGACTTAGCAAGAAGAAGTTGACAGAACACAACAGAGGTTAGCAGATCCAGTTATTAGTCACTCTTTACCAATTATTAGCTATGGGATCTTTATTATATGAGTAATCCCTTTCGGGAGAGGGTAAGAGAGTATTTCATAATTGTTTTTTAATGGTTCTTTCATGTTATTGGATTGCCTTTAATTTATTTTGCAAGATTATTTTATAGGGGCTTCTCTGGTGGTTCAGTGGTAAAGAATCTGCCTGCAGTGCAGAAGACTGCCTGCAATGAGGAGACAACAGTTCAATCCTTGGGTCAGGAAGATTCCCTGGAGAAGAATAGCAACTCACTCCAGTGTTCTTGCCTAGAAAATCCCACGCACAGTGGAGCCTGGAGGACTCTAGTCCATGGGGTGCAGAGTCGGACACGACTTAGCGACTAAACCACCACCAGCAGATTATTTTACAGGATATAAAAAATAACACTGTCTAGCTACATTTTCGGAGAAGGCAATGGCACCCCACTCCAGTACTCTTGCCTGGAAAATCCCATGGATGGAGGAGCCTGGTAGGCTGCAGTCCATGGGGTCACTAAGAGTCGGACACGACTGAGCGACTTCACTTTCACTTTTCACTTTCATTCATTGGAGAAGAAAACAGCAACCCACTCCAGTGTTCTTGCCTGGAGAATCGGGGTTCTCTTGCCCGGCAAAACGGGGTTCTGGATGGGGGAACCTGGTGGGCTGCCATCTATGGGGTAGCACAGAGTCGGACACGACTGAAGCGACTTAGCAGCAGCAGCTACATTTTATGGAGACCATAGAGATAAACAGCACTCTTTTTCAGATATTTTCATTTTTGTCTGCTAAATATTAAAAAAAAAAATTTTTTTAAATCAGTGTTATTTGTGCACATAATTTCAAAGGTCAGATAGCTCTAAAGGGCCTGTTATGAAATAACAGTTGTCTTCCCCACCCCCACCAGCCGTGTTTCTCACTGCCTGGAGGTGGCTACTTTCGGCCATTTTGGCTGCTCTCTGTATAACAGTGTTATTTCATGCTGGTTTTGTTCTAGATTTTTAGTGTTAGTTGTTCTCTAACGACATCCTCCTGTGGAAGACTAGGGTTTAGTTCTCTTTCAACCCTCCCAGGTCCTTCCCTCCCCGCTTCCCACATGTTTTTCCTACTCATTCTCCTCATCTTCACAGTGTGGTTTATTACATTTAGTTTTGAATAGAATAGTACTCAGTCTTTAGTGTTGTAACAGTGTAATCAGAGTTGAACCATATAGCTTACTATGAAATAACAAAATGAGGAGCTTTTTCTCCTGGGAGTTAATAAATGTCTTGTGTTTTTCTCACTGTGGTTTTCTCTGTATGTATTTCTCTGTACTTGTATTCAATCTCAAACTCTCAGCATTGGGTAGATCTCCTTTTGATACATTAGTAACAAGCCCTCAAGTAGCTTTCCAAGAAAGAGTACATGTGACCTGGCATGACTTCTGTGTGTCCTCATTCTACCCACCATTTAACTAATAATTGGCTAAGTGTAGAATTCAAATTTGAAATAATTTTCTCTTGAAGTTTTGAAGGTATTCATCTGTCACCTTTTAGTTTCTAGAGTTGCTACTGAGAAATCCAGTGCCATTCTGATTCCTGAAGTGAAGTGAAGTGAAACTGTTAGCTATGTCTGACTCTTTATGACGCCATGGACTGTATAGCCCGCCAGGATCCTCTGTCCATGGGATTCTCCAGGCAAGAATACTGGAGTGGGTTGCCATGCCCTCCTTCAGGGGATCTTTCTAATCCAGGGATTGAACCCTGGATTCTCTCTTATGTCTCCTGAATTGGCAGGCAGATTCTTTACCATCTGAGCCACCAGGATACCCCCTCTGATTCTTAATACTTTGAATTAAATCTCCCTTTGTTCCTTGTGAGGTTTGCAGGATCTTCTTTTTTCCCCCCTTAGTGTTCTAAAACTTCAAAATAATGTGGCCTGATATGAGTCTGACTGTCTGGTTGGTTTCTTCGACCTGGAAACTCACCTCCTTCATTTCTGAGAAATTTTCCTGAATTATTTCTTTGACAGTTTCTTCCCTTCAGTTTTCTGTTCTCTCTTGAATGTATGAATGTTGGACATCCTGTACTTTCCCTCTAGCATCCTTATTTTTTCCTCTTTCTTTTCTCTCTCCGTCTTTTTCCTCTGCTTTCTGGAAGAGTTTCTTAACATTATCTTCCACCCTTCTGTTGAGGTTTTCATTTCTGCTCTCATCCTTTTAAATTGCCAAGACATTTTTTGTTCTTGTTCTCTGAATGTTCCTTTTTTCATAGCATCATATTTATTCTATGGATGCCATATCATCTTTGATGTCTCTGAGGTTTTTAGTGATAATTTTTGTTCCAGTTTCTTTTTATTTTCTTTGAATAGATATTTTCCAAATTGCATGGAAGCAGTGAACATAATATAATGAATCTTCCTATACCCATCATCTAGCCTCAACAGTCATCAACATTTTTTTTTTTTAAAGAAGTAGCTATCTTTAGCTGTACCAGGTCTTAGTTGTAGGAACCCAGGCCCTCCACATTGGGAGTGTCTTAGCCACAGGACCACCAGGGAAGTCCTCGACATTTTTATAATCTTGTTTTATCCATATCCCCTCTCTTTAAAAATGTGTATAGAGGTGCATATTATAAATAAGTATTTCTAAAAGATAAGGATTTTTTAATCACCCTAAATATTGTATTGATAATTCTCTTTTTCATGACAACTTCTTCCTACATAAATTTCCCCAGGTTTCTTTTCTCAGTTTGTCTGCTTGGGTCTCTGACTTACATCCAGACACTTCCCTCATGATCTGATGATCCTTGGCATCCTGCTCATATTTAGCAACAGGACACAGACACATGCACACAAACTGATTGGAAGCTCTGTGTATGTGGGTGGGCTTGTTGAGTACAGTCTTCACTGTAGACATATCCAGCTCAACCCTTTCCTGGGGGACCCTCTGGTATCGTAAGTTGGATTGTCTCCCAGGCTGGTCAGATCCCCAAAGGATGCTCTCCCGATCTTGCGCCTGGCCTGTGCCCAGACCCAGCATTGTGGGAACTGAACTGGAAGGAGAGGTGGAGGCTCAAGGGGCCACAGTGAGCTTTTTTTTTTTTTTTGCTTTCTCAGAAGCCCTGCATTCTCAGCAGCGCCTCACCTTCTAGGGTCTGGTGCACCCAGTCCAGAGACCCCGGGGCCATACTCCCTCCAGAATGCAGCCCTCAGCCTCCTGCCAGGCATAGGCTCAGAACCCACTGCTGCCTGCCACCCTCTCCAGATTCAGCTTCGTCTTCTCCTGCTGCTGCCCCCTCCCCTTTCCCCCCACCCCCACCCCTCGGGGACTCTGCGACGGAACCAGACCGCCTCCCCGCTGCCAGCCCTGCATTTGGTTCCCTCAGGTCTGCTCAGCCAGCTACTGCGTGTCCATCTGCTTTTCATTTTCCAAACTTCATTGCCATTTTTTTTTCCTTCTCATTATCTTCATTCTCGTGTTGTTTATCTTCATTTTAGCATTATTTACAATGGTTTTTGGGGAATACATGTAAAAAAAAAAAAAGATACAATGGTTTTCATTTTGTTTATTAATGTTTGTTGTTGTTTAACATTTTAGGGTTTCAGTGGGGTTTGGGGAGACAGCAGAGCTAAGTGCTTTTTTTCAGTCTTCTATTTTTAACCAGAAGTTATGGCTGTTAAAAAAACCAAGCAAACATGATCCTCATTGGGAAGACTGAGACAAAACTGGTTAACTTGGCGGCATTTTGCTTTGTTTGTTTTTGAAGACAATAGAAATTGTCGCTGAATGGAAAATGCTTGTGGGGAAGTGACATTTGAAGTATACTTTGCAGGAACAGAAGTAGGTTTCTCAGAGCACAGTGTAGACTGCCAGGGAGAGGAGAATATCAGGATTTTTCCTCACTTTGACATTTCCTAATTGTAAAGGGGGGCTTCCCTGGTAGTTCAGCAGTTAAAGAATCTGCCTGCCAAGCAGGAGACTCGGGTTCAATCCCTGGCTCAGGAAGATCCCCCGGAGAAGGAGATGGCAACCCACTCCAGTATTCTTGCCTGCCCATGGACAGAGAAGCCTGGTGGGCTACAGTCCATGGGGTCACAAAGAGCCTGACACAACAAATAAACAACAACAGCATCCATGAAGGACTGACCACTAGCAACTCAGAAGCTGAGTACTTAGTGGCTTTGTTTTTCAGATGGTGTCCTCGGATCGAAGCCCACTCTCATTCCTGCCCACAGAAGCTCAAGCCCAAGTGTCCCCCCCGCCCCCTTACCCTGCAGCCCACGACCTGCCCCAGCCTCTGCTGCAGCAGCCCCATGCCCAGGAGCTGCCTGCCCAGCAGCCCCAGGCGGCCTCATCGCTGCCCCAGTCGGACTTCCCACTCCTCACAGCACAGGTGAGTCCCATCCAGAGCCCCAGGCAGGAGGGGATGCTCATGCCACCCCGCGTTCCAAACTAAATGGTTCCTTCCTTCTTCCCTGAAGGGCTCATCTTTGACCAGCTTCTTCCCAGATGTAAGCTTTGACCAGCAGTCCATGAGGCCAGGTCCAGCCCTTACTCAGCAGGTGAGTGAGTGCCCGGGCCTGCCTAGTCCCCAGAGCAGGAACTGTCACCTTCAGGCTGCTCCGCAGGGGAAACCCACACCCAGCAGTCTCAGTTGGTACTGTAGTTCTCTGACCTCAGGTGCGCTTAGCAGCTGGGGAGCCTGGCATCGCCCCAAGCCCTAGATGCTGGTGCTGGCTGCCTTAATTCATTGTCAGGCATCAGTGGAGGACCTTTTGGAACACATGGTGGAAGACTTGTGATGACATTCTAGCCATGGAATTGTAGACACGCTCATGCTGGAAGGAACCGAGCAGTCCATGGGTCTATCATGATGAGGAGATAAGGAGCAGGCAAGGGCTTTGCCACGGCCCGAGTTGCTGTGTGTGGCCTCCTGAGAGCCCATCCTGGCCAGGCAGGGGTCCTTCCTGAAGGTTCTTTCATGCAGCCATTTTCTTTTGCTTTTTAGTTTCTCCCTAATAACACAGACAATCTTCTATATCCCTAGATTTTATGTTATTGTTCAGTTGCTAAGTTGTGTCCGACTCTTTGCAACCCCATGGACTGCAGCATGCTAGCCTTCCCTATTCTTTACTATCTTCCGGAGTTTACTCAAACTCATATCCATCGAGTAGGTGATGCCATTCAACCATCTCATCCTCTGTCACCCCCTTCTCCTTCTGCCTCAGTCTTTCCCAGCATCAGGGTATTTTCCAATGAGTTGGCTCTTCGCATGAGGTGGCCAAAGTGTTGGAGTTTCAGCTTCAGCATCAGTCCTTCCAGTGAATATTCAGGGTTGATTTCCTTTAAGATTTTATAGTATTTGATAATTATGGTTTGGGCTCCAGGATATATTACGGAGAGAAGGAAGAGCACTTTCCAGAACTTAACAAAAACAGTAAAATAAATAAAGACAGATGTTTTCCGTGTAGGCCATGGGGAGTGGTGAGAACCAATAGTCTCTACCACCTGATTTTCTAGAGAAGCCATGTGAGTCTAGGTGAGTCAGTGTCTTTCTGAAAAGTGATGGAAACTCCTATTTTGAAAGATTTTTTTAATGGTTTAAAAATTGATTTCAGGAATGGCACCTAAAATAGGCTCCAGTTCTGACCCATCCTCATCAAGGCTTTTTGCAGAGAGAGGCTTGCTTGCATTCCTCCCTCTGAGTGAGAGAAGGAGAGGGGTCTACTGTCTCATTTCTTTCGAAAGCAAAGAGGAAAAGAGCCCATCACTTCCTTGGTTATAGACGGAGCCTTTGAAGGGTTCCCACCCATGGTAGTTTCCAGAAGCCTCAGTGTTCTGAGGAGGGAGGTGGCTGTGACTGGTGGGCCTGCAGGAACCACAGCCAGTGGCGTTATACAGGATGGCGTAGAGTGCCAGGCAGTGTGCGAACAGGGACACATCACCCACAGTGTAGTCCTCGGGCCCCTCCTCCACCACAGTGCCCCCGCTACCCAAGCAGAATGTTCTGTGTGGGCTGTCACAGCAGAGAAGGGGTATGACAGCTCCCATGGCTGGTTTTGCTTGGGGGGCACACAGCACAGTCCTCCCCAGGGAGGCAGAGACCATCCCTCACACAGTGACCTCTGGTGCCTCCAGGTGCCCCTGGTGCAACAAAGTCCCCAAGAACCACAGGACTCCTTTCATTTGAGACCAAACCTGTATTCCAACTGCGGGAATTTCCCAAACACCGTCCTGACAGGTGAGTGCGGGCCACCTCCCAGCTGCTTCTTTCACGTCACTATGTTTCTCCAGATACCGCTATAAGACAGTTTAAACAACATGACATTATATAAAGCCAAAACATGAAAGCCCTGCAGCTCAGCTTTACCCTGTCGAGAATTGGGAGTCCAGCCCCAGAGACTGTGAGGCAGTGGGGAAGGGCCTGGTGACCCAAGCCTTTTTACGACCTGCTTAGTTTCCAGTGACTGACCACTGTTCAAAGGGAGGAAACCTGTAGAACTGGGACTTGTGGAACTGATTGCAAAGAACACAGATTCCAGAGCAGGACTGTGGGCCTGGGAGTGGTTGGGACATGGGTGATGACTGTCCTGGTTGGCGAGATGGCAGGGGGTCATCACCAGTCATGTCCTGAGTGACCTGGCCCCCACGCCTTCTAATCCGCACTGTTCTCCTCTCCTGATGCTCTTTCCAGAAGACTCGAGCACCAGCCTGTTCAAAGACCTCAGCAGTGCACTGGCAGGCATGCCCGAGGTCAACCTAAGCGTGGACACTCCGTTCCCACTGGAGGAAGAGCTCCAGATCGAACCTCTGAGCCTGGACGGACTCAACATGTTAAGCGATTCCAGCATGGGTCTGCTCGACCCCTCTGTAGAAGAGACATTTCGAGCTGACCGACTGTGAGGTGATCGGAATGGGACAGGAGGACTTATTTCTGAAACAGCTAAAACAGAATGGAATGGAACTAGCTCCACCCCTGGGCGTTAGTTATCTCGGGCTTCTGACCTGGAAGGAACCCAATTCCTCGGCTCCCAGCTCTCAGATGAGGTCCCATCTCAGTCGCCGTGGCCTTCTCTCAACCACAGAGCTGGGCGCCGTCCCTCAGGCCCACAGCACAGGCCCTGTCACTGCAAGCCTGCTGCTTTGGCGCTTCTGATGACTCGGTTGTCACCACACCCGTGACATCTTTTATTGACCATCTAGCTGGTCAATGAGTAAAAGAAAATGTGTACCGAGAGGCCTCAGTAGCCGTGTATAATGCTCAGAACCACTGATCTCAGTCAACACTGAAGAAAGGACCCGAAGTGGGGGGCGGTCTGGGGCTGCGGGCCTCCAGGAGCCAACTCACCTCCAGCAATGGTACCAAGCCCCACGATGCCTGCCGTGATCCCACTGTCTCGACTTAGCACCCCAGGCAGCCATGGGATGTCCAGGGCAGCGCAGAGGGCCAGGGCTCCCTGAGAGACCTCCATTCAAACACGAAGAAGGATTTCCGCCACATGTCTAAGAACAGACTTGAGTTGAGCAAACTGAATTCTAATTAGTTTTCTCCTGGTTTGTAATCTCTTCTCTGCTGCTGCAGTACCCCTTTTCCTTTGGATGAGAGGAAAAGGAAGACTATTTTATTTTATTCTTTCACTGAAGAAAAAAAAAAAATCAAAATCCCCTGGTAATGGATGAGCCTGAAGAGAACAGGGCTTCTACTCAGTGGCTGCAGAAGACAGAGAGGGGGGCTGTGTGTAGGTATCTTACAGGCACACGATGTCCTCTAGGCAAGCTCCAAACCATCTAGACCTCCCTGTCAACAGACTGGCCAGGAGGAGCGGCCAGGGGTCTGGACCAGCACCACCACCCCTCCCCAGCAACTGTGCGGCAGCAGAGGGAAGCTGGTTCTCTGTGGAAAGGGGGTGTTCCTGTCACCCCACTAGACCGTAAGCTCATTGAGGGCAGAGACTTTGCCTTACCCATCACCAAACCCCTAGCACCCAGCAAGTGCCTGGCTCTGAGCAGGTGCTGCTGACCTGGGCGTTGAATGCACACACGCGTGAATGAGCAGATGAAGCACGAATGAATGAATCTGCCTCACTGGGAGGCAGTCTAATCTTTCACTGACCCTCTTCCTCACCAAAGCTTCTCAGAGCTTCAGCTTTTCTAACACTCATGCCTGTGGTTAAGTGAAGCACACACTTTAAGATGCTTTTAACACTAGGTGACCCAAGTCCACGGTTAGGCCACATACCTTGTCCTCCTCGAGGCTATGCACGTGGGTGGACAATGTCTTATGAGTGCACCTTAGGGTGGCTCAGCAAGCTGGGGCCTCCCCCATACTGGGACCTCGGGGGTCCCAGCCATCACAAGCATCTTCTCTCTCAGACCCGTGTTTTGCTCTCGATTGCATTAAGAGATTCACCCTCTGAGGCTGAAGAAATAATGTATAGTAAAACGAAGGCCTAATTTATGGAACCATCATTAGGCATCAGTACTTTAGCACAAAATGGCATTACTGTATTTGCACCAGCACCTGCCTCCTCTGATTCAGTGTATGCCAGCCCCTGACCAGAAACCCCGATGGGTGGGCTTAAAAACCATCAGGGGAGGAGTCTGGGCAAAGGGGCCTCACACGGGCCTGGGAAGACAGCATAGGGTAGACAGACACACTGAAGGAGTGATAAAGATGCTAGAGCCAGACAGACAGCTTCTTTCCAGGGGACACCAGGCATGTTGCTAAAGGGCCCAGATTACTCCCACGTAAAGAAGCAAAGCGGTACCATGTGGGTCTGAACCTGACACGTGGCCCTGGTGGCAGGAAGGGGTCTGTCACAGGGTCCTGGGCTGTTGACCTCCCCAGACCTTCTGTTTCCTTCTGTCTCCAGGGGGCTGCCTTCCCTCCAATCTTTTAAGTAACCCCAACGGTGCACTGCTCTGTCTCCAGTGTGGAGCCCAGGTCTTGGTCTTCTTGCATCACATTCACTCTGAACACCCCCCTCTTGAATTAGAAAGACCAGAGCCTTCCCTGCCTGAGCTCTGGCTCAGGAAGGGGCCGTGGGCTTCCCCTTCGAAGCCTTATTCCCAGTTAGACTTCCAGATCTCAGCGACTTTTTGTGAAAGAAGATGGCCGTTCATTGTACACAGCACCCCAGCGTGCTGAAAGAGCCAGATGCTGCCTGCCTCTCATGTGTCAGAAATCCCCTGAGATCTGAACTAGCCTTTCAGACAAGGGGGTGTGCTGATGTCATGAGAGGTTTCTTTTTTTTTTTTTTTTTTTAATGGAGATTCCAGGATAGTCTGCTCTCTACACAGTGCCTTACCCATGGTGATCACTGGTGTCAGGGTCCTAACTCTGTCTGCACAGCAGCCCAGCCATACAGCCAGAGACCCCGAGACCTGCAGGACCAAGTATGCTCCCCTGGGCATTCACCAAGGACTTGTGGAAATGGAGGCTCCTGGGAGAAGTGACTTGCTTAGGGGGAGGGTAATGATGACAGTAAGGTTTAGCACTGAATCCAGTTTGTCCTTAGGTCCGTCCATCCCCTCTCTTCCTGTGAAAAGGTTTTGGACATTATACAACCTGCCTTGCTTACCCATGTCAAGGACACCCATGGACAGGGGTCGCCCTGACCTCCTCACTGCTGTCTTTGGTCCTCAGCATCTGAAATGGCTGCAGACTTCAGATTAAACTATTTTTCAATATTTAGTTTTTCACAAGAAATCGATGGTTGTACTACTCTCATTTACTAGCAGTTAAACAGCATAAAACTAAAAACCTATCTGTGTTTCTGTTTTTTCTTCCCCCTTCTGTATGGTTGTGGTTTTTAGGACATAAGGTGTCAGGAGAACCTTGGTTATGTTTAGATCAACATGAATTCTCCACTGTCCTGTCTCATTTCTCCTAAGTCTACTGTATATTACCTGAGCTGAAATGTATACCCCAGTCCATTTGCATAGTTGAAGACGCTTTCTACTCTGACCCTTGTCGTCTCTTCTGATTCATGCACGGACGGTCTGGTCCCAAGCGTGTTTCTTCCACGGCTTTGTGATGGAAACATTACAGCAAAACTAATCAGACTTCCCACCAGTATCCTAGTCCACATGCCCCTCGTCAAACAATATTTAAAGATTGGAAATTTGTATAAAGTAGCTTCCAAGTTTTATAATGCATCGTTTTACATCTTTCGTAATTAAAAGCAGCACAATAAGGTTGTATGTGCGTCCAGTGTCTTCCTTGGGCTCTGGTGAGATAAACAGGTGGCGAGTCCTTCTTAGTGCAGCCTGCAGTCAGAGATTTCTGGTCCATGGCTGAGCAGAGCCTGCACTGGCCCTCTTCTCCTAATACGTGCTGTGGCGCCCAGTCCTGAGAGAAGTCCAGAAGGAAGTAGGGGCACATGTGTACCCAGGACAGAGGCATCGTTGTAGGGGCTCAGCATTCTGCTCCGTCTTCTGAGGTTCAAGCCACTGATATGCCTCCCCCGCCCAGTCACTCTGCTGCAGGTACTGGTCTTTAGCTCTTTCAGTCCTAAAGGAAATCAACCCTGAATATTCATTGGAAGGACGGATGCTGAAGCTGAAGCTCCAATACTTTGGCCACCTGATATGAAGAGCTGACTCATTGGAAAAGACCCTGATGTTGGGAAAGATTGAGGGGAGGGGGAAAAAGGGTGACAGAGGATGAGATGGTTGGATGGCATCACCGACTCAATGGACACGAGTTTGAGCAGACTCCGGGAGATGGTGAAGGACAGGGAAGGCTGGCGTGCTGCAGTCCATGGGTTTGCGAAAAGTTAGACACAGCTGAGTGACTGAACAACAACCCGTTTCACCAAGGACTTGGGTTCTGCTTTCTACCCCCAGCCTCTCTCCCCCTGTCCCAGCAGGGTACAGAGCGTGGACCTCTCCAACAGCAAACAGCCTCAGCTGCCCCCGGAGACCCACTTTCCTCAGCCGCACCCAAGGCTCGTCATAAAGATGACTCTTCTGAAATCTTACTCAGAAGTCCCACCTCTGACCCCGACTTGCTGAGCCACCATTTCTACTCAGGTCCCCACACACCCTGTTATCTGACTCCACCGGGACTTCTGTCCCTTGTCCCTCCTCTCAGTCCGCGTGTCCCTCTTCATTCCCCGGCCAAGCCCACCGACTTAGAGGCCTTCAGGACACCCTCAGCAGCCCTCGTCCTGCTCTGAGCCTGGCGTTTCTCAGTAGCCACACTCTGCCCCTAAGCCCCCTCCCTCTTCTGCCCCCAGACCTCTCCTCCCATCAGGGCCCTTCTCTCCTCACAGCCAGAAACTCCAGGTTTCCTTCAGAGGGCAGCTCCCTCAGCATTCCAGCTGCCCCCACGCCATCCTTTCTCCTGGAAAACTTGTCCTAAATCTGTACCTATCCGTTCCTCCCTCCCCTCTGCCTCACCTAGTTCTCGTTTTTCACATGTGATTTATCTGTGCTTCCTCCAAGGACACCTGATCCTCCCCAGGCCTCCTCCTCACCGTCTCCAGCAGCTTTTTACCCTCAGCCCAAGGACAGTCTATGTGTTTAGTTCCTCAGTCGTGTCTGAGTCTTTGCAACACCACAGAGTGCAGTCCACCAGGCTCCTCCGTCCATGGGATTCTCCAGGCAAGAATACTGGAGTTGCCATTCCCTTCTCCAGGGGATCTTCCCGACCCAGGGCTTGAACCTGGGTCTCCTGTATTGCACGCAGATTCCTTACCATCTGCGCCACAGTCTCCTTGCTAAAGACCAACCGTGAAATAATGCTCTCCTCAGCTCGGACTTCTCCGCCAACCACAACCTCTCTCTCGAAGAGTTGCTCATGCTCAGCTCTGGTCTCAACTCCTCTGGCCAGTCCAGTCCCTCTCCTCCGTGGCCCTTCCCTGACATTTGAGCCCTGTGGCTGCTCCCGTTCCCTCCCCTAGGTCCTCTCTCTGGCTCCAGTAAGTCCTCTTGTCCTCTGAGGGCACATCGTCCGCTACCATCTCTTCTCAGAACCACTGTCCCCAGGCCATCACCTCCAAGTTGATGGCCCCCGACATCCAGCCTCCCATCGCCTGCCTCTTGGCTCAGGCTCACCTGCGCTCCACCCCATGTGTCCGCCGCACAGCCCTTCATAGTTCTGTGTTCACTGGCAAGCATTCCTCATCACACTTGACACTGGCCGTCCCCATACAACTCTCTGCTCTGTGAGGACAGGGACCTTGCCTTCTACTTGAATTCTGTATCGCCAGTGCCTGGCATGTAGTAGGTGCTCAATAAATATTTTTGAACTGCTGACTTCTGCCTGTCCTCTCAGATCACAGCCTTTATCTCCCACATAGCCTTCCTCCTCCCCTCAAACCCAGCCTGAGTCCGGAAAGGCTGCCTCAGCCCCAAGTCTCTCTCTCTTTAGCCTGACACCATCTTCTCATCCGGCTCCCACCACATCTCTGGCCCACGAGGCAGCCTCTACCTCCCCTCAGAAATTAGCAGAGTAGAGACTTCCCAGGTGGTCCAGTCGTTAGGACTCTGAACTCCCAATGCAGGGTGCCGGGGTTCAATCCCTGGTCAGGGAACTAAGATCTCACTTGCCACATGACGTGGTCAAAATAAAGAGATTTGTAAAAAGAAGAAAAAAAAATTAGTGACAGATTTTACTTTTATGTTTTTGTTCCCCAGGGTTCTTAAAATTAATAAGTACTCCCCCTCACCAGTTTTATAGCATTGTAGGGGTTCATTGTGTAATGAATTCATAATGAGAGCACTTAAAATCATGCCCTGCACATCATAAACACTCAATAAATGGCAATTATTACATTATTTGTTGCACGGATACACTGTCCTTTTAAAAAAAGGATTCACAAATCTTTAGAAGTACTGAATCTGTATAGTGCTTGCTTTAAAACACCAAATCTTACCATGGGGAGGATGGTCTTAAGTTGGTTTTGTTTAGGTCCTGTTTGCCAAATGAGCTTTACTATTTGCAAGTATGGAAAAGGCAGTTATATATATGGGACTGTGTCCCGCTGTGGACACTAGATGGAGCTGAGACACAAGAGTAGCTGTCAGGACCCAGAAACAGCCCCTAGCGCCACCTGACCCTCTCCTCTAATTTCACCTTTAGACGGGTAGACGGCAGTGTGGTTAGCAGGTAATCCTACGATGGCAGAGGATAAGTTTCTCTAGTGACCGCTCAGACCCTGCACATCACACGTCCCTGAAGCAGGTCAAGGATGGCTTCTTGGGTTTATGGGTGAGGAAGGAGGCCCAGATGGCGCTGAGTCACCTGTCGACACAGGGAGCCCAGACCTTGCAAAACGGCCGGGCTTCCCCACCTGCGGCATCACAGACCCCCAAAGCTCAAATGTGCGGGCGGAGCTCGGCAAGCGGCCCGACCCGTCGGACCCTCAGGGCCTGAACCGCGCCCCTCACCCACCCGGGAACCCGGGGGACGCAGCCCCGACCGGAGGGTCCTGGAGCGCGGGGAGGGAGCACAAGCCCAAAGGGAGGGCCGGATTTTCTCTCTTCCAGCAGTGTTTTTTAATTTTTTAAATAAAAGGCTTTGCTTTCATAATAGTACACGCACATTATAAGAATTTCAGGTTAACACTGAAGAGCACAAAAAAGAAAATTTTTCAGGTGGTCCGGAAGGCAGCACCCGCAGAAATGTCGATGGAGACATCTGCTTACGCACGTATTCAGAGAAAAGACCAGGTAGGTGCCTGGAAATTTCTACCAAGAAGTGTTCACAGAATACATGCTTCTTTTGGAAAAAGTCTTTCACAGAAAGGAAAAAAAAAAAAGAAGAAGAAAAGGAAGAAGCCTGAATGTAACTAAAGAAATTGCCGAGCTGCAAATAATTAAAAGAGAAGAAAAATGCCCAGAAGCTGAATTCATCCTTTAAATCTGTTTCAACTGTAGATGGCATCTCTTGACAGTGCTGGAGGGTGGAGGAAATGACCTCACCCACTTCCCCTCTCCTCCCCCCTCCCATAGGTTGTGAGTTCTTATTTTCACATTGTCAAGGTTTGTGCTACTTGCATCCTGTCCTGTAACCATCCTTCCCACCATTGTTTGGCCCCTTCTGTGTGTGCCTGGGTCGCCTGCTCACTGCCAGGCCTTTCAGAGTGGGTTTCCCAGCCCTCCCTCCTGAGTGCTTTATTTCATTTTTTTATTGTAGCTACACCGTGTAGCATGTGGGAACTTAGAACCAACCAGGTATTGAACCTGTGTCCCCTTCAGTGGAAGCCCAGAGTCTTAACCCCTGGACTGCCAGGGAAATCCCATGAGTTCTTCATTTTGATTCCCCTCCTGTCTGACTTGACTTGTCCCTAAGAAATCTGTTTAGGAAGGGCTTTGGGCAGCAGTCACAGACAAGAGGGTGGTTGGCTGCTGGGAGCAAAGGTTGGAGACCTCAGTTCTGAAAAGGAGTGGGTGGGCTCTAAAATTGGCTGAATTATCCCCCGTGAAACTGACATAAATCCCCAATGTAGGGACAAGCACTAATACTCTCCAGTATGATTCCTGGCTGAAAACTGAGTCTTCAGCTTGTATTTGGTGGCTTATAGTCCCCAGCTGGCTCAGCGGTAATGAATCCGCCTGCAGGTGACGCAGGAAACTCAGGTTCGATCTCTGGGTTGGGAAGATCCCCTGGAGAAGGAAACGGCAAGCAGAATACTGACACTTGTCTGGGAAATCCCTTGGACAGAGGAG